TTGCTTCACAGCTGGGCCTTGCATGGACACTTCCAAACCCGAGACAAAAAGGAGGAATCTGCAGATTTCTCTGTAACTCCTGCTGGGTGGCCTCAGGCAGTGGCTGACTTTGCACCTCCCTGGAGACCCAAGAGCCAGTGTATCCAGTGGTCAGTGTGAGACCATACCAGATTACAACTGTTCACATCCATAAGTGACACACTCAAGGGGCAGACTCAGTGAGCACCTAAGCCCCACTGAAGCAAGTCCTGCTCCATAAGGATGTCTCCTGCACAGCAGCTCTTCCACTGTAGTTGTAACTGGTCCCCATAGCCAATTGGCCTGGAGGTCAATTCCTCCAGTGACACCAACAGCAATCAAAGCTCAACTACAACAAGACTGTGCTCACAGCCCACAAAGGGGTACACTAAGAGTGTCTACCTCAGGTGACTGGGGACGCTGAGTCATTTGGCCATATTGGACACCTACTACACAGGGCCACTCTATCAACTCAAGGAGACTTAGCAGCTCTACCCAATGCACTGAAACAAACACAGGGAAGCAGCCAAAATGTGGAGACAAGGAAACATGTCACAAATGAAAGAAATGGAAGAAAGCAAACTACTGGATATAGAGTTCAAAACCACCATTATAAGGTTATTCAAGAATCTTCTAGAAACCTCCAAGGAACTTAATGAGACCTTCAAGGATCTTAGTGAGAATGCCAAAAAAAATGGAAAAGAACCAGTCAGAAATTAAGCATACATTGACTGAAATAAAGAATAATATACAGGGATTCAACAGTAGACTAGAGTATCCTGAGAATCAAATAAGTGATATGAAATATGAAGAAGCAAAAAACACCCAACCAGAAGAGCAAAAAGAAAAAAGAATCCAAAAATATGAAGATAGTGTAAGGAGCCTCTGGGACAACTTCAAGTGGACCAACATCCGAATTATGGGGGTGCCAGAAGAAGAGAGAGAGAAAGATATTAAAAACCTATTTGAAGAAATAATGACAGAAAACTTCCCCTACCTGGTGAAATAAATAGACTTACAAGTCCAGGAAGCGCAAAGAACCCCAAACAAGAGGAATCCAAAGAGAACCACACCAAGACACATCATAATTAAAATGCCAAGGGCAAAAGACAAAGAAAGAATATTAACACATTGTATGCGGGAAATGTGTTTACACGTTTTACGTATTTATACGTTCTACCAGTATAGTAGAGCCCGAGACACGTATTAATACGTTTTTTATAGACTAGCGGTAGAATGTGGGTAACGTATAAATACGTAAACTAAAGTTATCGTAATTTTACTGAACGTTGCCATTTGTGCAAAAAATTAGCAAAAATGGCCCGCGCCACCTGTTAGCGCGCGATAAAAACTACCCGCAAACAATGTGTTAAAAGCAGCAAAAGAAAAACAGTTAGTTACCTACAAAGGAGTGCCATAGGAATGTCAGCTGATATCTCAACAGAAACTATGTAAGCCAGAAGGGAGTGCCAAGAAAAATTCAAAGTGATGAATATTAAGGACCTACAACCAAGATTACTCTACCCAGCAAAGCTATCATTTAGAATTGAAGGTCAGATAAAGAGCTTCACAGACAAGAAAAAGCTAAAGGAGTTCATCGCCACCAGTATTATATGAAATGCTGAAAGGTATTCTTTAAGAAGAGGAAGAAAAAGATAAAGGTAAAGATAAAAAATTATGAACAACAAAATGACAAATACATATCCATCAACAAGTGAATCTAAAAATAAAATGAATAAAAAATCTGATGAACAGAGTAAACTGGTAAATGGAATAGAATCAGGGGCATGGAAATGGAAAGACCGATGATTCTCAGAGGGAAGAGGGGGTGGGGTGGTGCAGGAAGAGATTGGACAAAGATCTTACATGCATGTATGCAGTACCTATGGACACAGACAATAGGGTGGCGATGACCTGGGGTGGGATGGGAACTGGGTGGAGGGGAGCTATGGGGGGAAAAAAAGAGAGACATCCATAATAACCTCAACAATAATGATAAAAAGAAGATAATTTTTTAAAAAAGTTAGGCAGGAAGTATTTTTCATTGCATTCCACCATGAAAAAGAAGGAATAAAGAGGAATAAAGTGTTCTGCATCAACTATAGCTATCAAGTTATTGAACATAGAAAATGTTTATGGAAACTGTGGGCTTTGATGGTTCAAGTTTGTAAAAGGAGACATGAGAGGGGCACACAGGCCATCAGAGCTTTCACAGGATGGCCAAGAGCTCCAGCCCTAATCAGAGGCCACTTTTGCACATGCTCAGTGAGAGGGAAGAACACTCCAAAGCTTTGCACTGTAGTATAGGAGGCCAAAGCTGACAATGCTCAGTGAGAAGAACATGAGGACTTTGAACTGGAGGGTAGGAGGCCAAAGTGGACAGGAGACAGATGAAAGCTGAGGGGACTGATCGACCTACAAAACACTCAACACAAAGATTCCAAAGATCGCTGTTTTCTCCCTTGATGTCTGCAGATGACACCTCTAGGTAAAGAAGGGAGTTTTAATTGGCAAGAATGCATGTCCATTTTGTAAGAGATAGGAGAATATAAGGAAAAGTACTTAAAATCCCTCAAAATTTTCTCAAATCTCATTCTGTTCATAAATTTAGCCAGTGGAAGCAAGAAAGGGGACATCTGCACACTCCACCCATATATGTGCACCTGTGCACTTCGAATCCGAAGCAATGTGCTAAAACTAGCCAGAAAAAAATAAACAAGTGAAAATAATTCTTAGGCAAAATGTACACTTATGAAACACAGACATTAAAGGAAATATATTAGAGTATATAACCTGAGTTCTATCATTATTGAATGCCATCCAAAAATAATAATTTTCTCTATTCTAGAGAGTTTTCCAATAGCCAGTTCATTAATTTTCCTCATATAGAAAAGCAATGTTTGGTTATTACAGAATTAGACTGGTCTAGAACTCACTAAACAGTAGAACTTACCACGGATATAGAAGTACATGAAATAATGTATAAATACATTATGCCCTTTCAGAATTTTGGTCCAAAAAAATATCCAGGAAATAAGTTTCAGGTTTAGCTTCATCAGTTTCATACATGACCTAGGTCATTTCTCCTATGTGACTGCTCAAATGCCAGTGGGCCCCTTAGTCATTTTAAGAGTGCTTTCACCTGCATTATCCCAACAGATCCCTGTGGTAGTCCTTGAGGCAGGTGGGAGAAGCAGTATTGTCCCTGCTTAACAGATGAGGAACAAAAATGCATCGAAGTAAACAAGTCAGAGGTAATGAAGATAGAACGGAAGAGCTAAAAGTGACTGACTCTTAAGTTTCAATCTCACAACAAATGGAATATTCCCTTTACGGTTACCAATCATAGTATTCTGGCAACATTTCCTTTTTATTTTGGCAATATCCTTTAGTCTATCTTCTATTGGCTATTTCTCACCAATCTTTGTCATTAACTCATATCCTGGGTTAAGGTTCCTTCTTCCAGAACATTTCCCCTTAGGAATCAGAGAAACATGAGCTGGGTTTCTATCTATTGGTCCAAAGAGAGGGGACCACTAATACTTGGTAACTCACCTTTTGGCATGCCATTGTTCTTTATTAACAAACACATCACCCTAAATAAGGCACACTTGGCTTGCTTTTACTGAACAATCAATCCACCTTTAGAGCTAGAACTTATGAGGCACAGCCTCCCATTCTGTTTCAAAAACTCTATAGTCCTCCTCGGCTTTTCCCTCTTTCTCAGTCCTCACTGAAGTGATTTCCTGTACAGAAATGAAATGGCCTATTGTATGAAATAATTATAAGATCTTTTTTAATTCCTTTGTTCGTGTTAATAAGCTCGTATTTGGGAGGAAAGCTAAAATGAGTTCTGACGATGATAGGTGGAAGGTGGTAACTGAGCTAGCATCAATGTATTCATTTTAAACCACCTGGAGAAATGGAGCATTATTTCATTGCAAAGGTCTGAAATACCCAAATACACACATTTGTTCTGAGAAGATAACTTCAGCTCTCCACATTAACAGTGACATCTTGGTTGTTTTTGGCATGAGTGGCTTGAATGAATGCTATACCATCTCAGTAAGCCCAGCTCAAGAAAAGATTGATGAGGTCACAGCAGAGGAGTGAAGTCACAAGCTAATCTGACTTCACAGAACAAAAGAAATTTAACCGATGAAAAGATGTCCCCAGAGTAGAAGTCAATATCCTTTTGCCATCCACATCCTTTCAGTGGAGGAAAAAGTGAAGGCTAGACTCTTAGCATGCCCACAGTAACATGGGACTAACAGCATTTTAAAGTCTCATGTGAATGATGCAATGACTAGCTGACCATTCAAATCCTAGAAAGGTCACATTAGCAGTTCCTATCAGTGCATCAGAGACCAAGCAGTAGAGTGTGAAACTCGAATTCCACTATGAGCTAAGAGAATGATTAAAGTCAGAAGTGATCCATGGCTGCTGAGAAACGAAATCCAAGATTCCTAATATTACCAGTAACATGGAGCTGCACAAGATAATTGTAGGTGGCAAAAAAAAAAAAATAGTTAAATTTTGCTTTTAGTTTTTTTTAATGAGCCAAGAAAAGCAGTTGAATTAATGAAAATATTAGTTATTAGCTATAAATTTTGGAAATAGATACGATTTTTAAGAGTTTAGAAGACTGGCTGATCATAAATATTTCAAAGTGCACACTATTAATTCAAGCCAATCAATAAATACAGCATAACCCTCCAGCTACACTACCAATGAGAAGAAATTTATGCATTACTTTTATTCCCACTGAAATTCATATCCAAAGGTTTGGGATTGATTATAGCAAGAAAAATTGTTCTTTTATCGAAGTATTATTTATTAGTCAAACATTTCCCAAGCAATAACATGTTATGACTCTTTAATTTGTTGAGCAGAAAACTGAGTAGTGACATTTCTTGAAAACTTGCTACAATCCCACAGGAAAGAATTGACATCATTACAATGTGTTTTCCTTAACTTGACAGGAAGTCAACTTCAAGCAGATTGACTTGAACTGGGATCTCACTTAGGAAGCGTAAGTATCCAATAAACTGTGTTATTATTTTTTTTTTTTACTTGCAAAATACTCAAGTTCCAGTGGCTTACCATCCTGTACTTTACTTTCTGAAAACTTGGCATTCCCACGTGGACTTCTGGTAGAATGAGCAATGCAAAGAGCTGGCTTGGACTTGGCTTGTCCTTGTACTTCTGGGGATTGATGGACCTTACGACCACCGTTCTCTCGAGCACACCAACACCACCAGGCAAATTAAAAGCGCTCCTGTCAGACAAGCCACAGTTACACTCAAGGACAAAGAGGAGCTGGGTTTGGAACCAGTTTTTTGTTCTGGAAGAGTACACTGGAACTGACCCTTTGTATGTCGGGAAGGTAAGAACTGCCAATGAGAAAGATAAATGATCAGGATATTGAATGCTGAAATCGAGTATGAATTGAATATGAAAGCTCACCTAGCCTGTGTCTGAAGCCTAGGAACAATTTTAATGAGGGGTATGTTACTTGACAGTTAGCTGAATTTAATTTTTACTTTGTCAGATAACCAGTCAGAAAGGAAAAGATTTCTCTCCTTGTCTCCTTGTTCATGCAACTGTTCTGAGTGGAGAGGGGGGGTGTGAGTCGGATTTGGAGGGAAAGCCTGGGCCCCTGCAAGAGTCATTTAAGTCCCAAAAGAAGAAGCAACAGTCTTGGGAATGACAGGATAGGGAAGAAAGAAACTAGGGAATGCAAAGGGGGAAGCATTTTTTTTTTGTTTGTTTGCTTTGCTTTGCTTTTTTCTTCAAAGCATTTCCACAGGTATAGCCTAAGGCCCAAATTTAAGGGGGAGGGAAGAGAATACAACATTCTTCATTTCAGAAAATCTTAGCATGTGCTCTATCCTAAAGGATAGCTGGAGACAATCAATGAATATATTCACAAACTTTATACTCAAATTCCCTTGATATATCTATCATTTTATTTTTAATCCAAGCTTTCTCCTATGTTTACATTATTTGGTTGTTAATCAGAGACCGTGTTATGAAAGCAACCAAGTTTAGAGAAAATGGGAAACAAGGAACTAATTTAAAAATAAATAATTCATTTAAATAATAACTTAAACACTTGTTTAGCACAAACGCTAAGAATATGGGTTTCAGAGACACATGTGGGTTCCAGACTGCTCTGACAAAGGCTTCCAGAGTGACTTTGGACAGGTTCACTAAGCCCCATTAGCCTTTGTTTCTTCAAATGTCTAATGGGGCAAATAAGAGAACCACAACTTTTCAAGAGCTGTCTATATAAACGCTTTCCTCCCACCCACTTTTTAAAAAATATATATTTTTATTGATTTCAGAGAGGAAGGGAAAGAGGAAGATAGAAACATCAATGATGAGAGGAATCATTAATTAGATCCCTCCTGCATGCCCCCCTCCCACTGGGGATTGAGCCCACAACCCGGGTATATGCCCTGACCTGGAATCAAACCATGACCACCAGGTTCATGGGTTGATGCTCAACCACTGAGCAACACTGGCTGGGCTCTCCCACTCACTTCTTAAACCAATTACCTGACTTCTAACCCCACCACTGCACTAAAGCTGTTTCCCGTGCTCCTAAGGACCTCCCCACTACCAAAGCCAATGGTTTCATTTTATTGAATGACACTGCTGGCCAGCTCCTCCTCCTTGACTCATGATCCTTTTTGGCTTCACAACCTTCACAATCCTCTCAGCCTCTTTGCTGGTCCTCTCCCTGACCCCAATTACTGGAGGTCTTATAAGCTCTGCCCTGGGCCTCTTTGCTACCCAAACTCATTCCCTGGGAGGATTCACCACCTTGTGATTTTTTTTTAAATTCTATATTGTTTAAAATATTAAGTATGTCTCCTTTTTCCCACATTGGCCTCTCCCCGGCCACTTCCACCTCTAGTACATGACCTCACCCCCTATTGTCTGTGTCTATTGGTTATGCTTATATAAATGCATATAAGTTCTTTGGTTGATCTCTTACCCCTCTCTGCCTTCCCTCTGAGGTTTGATGGTCAACTCAATGCTTCTCTGTCTCCGGATCTATTTTTGTTTATCAGTTTATGTTGTTCTTTATACTCCACAAATGAGTGAGATCACGTGATATTTTTCTCCAACTGGCTTATTTCACTTAGCATAATGGTCTCCAGGCCCATCCGTGCCGTTACAAATTGAAAGAATTCTTTCTTTTGTAAAGTAGCATAGTATTCCATTGTGTAGGTGTACCACCATTTTCTAATCCACTCATCTGCTGATGGGCACGTAGGCTGTTTCCAAAATCTTAGCTATTGTAAATTGTGCTGCTAGGAATATAGGGGTACATATATCCTTTCTGATTGGTGTTTCTGATTTCTTGGGTTATATCCCTAGAAGTGGGATTACTGGGTCAAATAGGAGTTCCATTTTTAATTTTTTGAGGAAACTCCATACTGTTTTCCACAGTGGCTGCACCAGTCTGTATTCCCACCAGCAGTGCAAGAGGGTTCCTTTTTCCTCACATCCTTGCCAGCACTTGTTGTTTGTTGATTTGTTGATGACAGCCATCTGACCGGTGTGAGATGGTACCTCATTATCATTTTGATTTATATCTCTTGGATGATTAGTGACTTTGAGCATGTTTTCATATGTCTCTTGGCCTACTGTATATTCTCTTTCAAAAAGTGTCTATTTAGGTCCATTGCCCATTTTTTGATTCGATTATCTTCCTTTTGTTAAATTGTATGAGTTCCCTACAAATTTTGGAGATTAAACTCTTATCGGATAAAACACTGGCAAATGTGTTCTCCCATGCAGTGAGCTCTCTTGTGTTGTTGATGGTATCTTTTGCTGTGCAGTAGCTTTTTATTTTGATGTAGTCCCATTTGTTTGTTTTCTCCTTAGTTTCCATTATCCTAGGAGCTGTATTGGTAAAGATATTGCTAAGACATATGTCTGATATTTTGCTGCCTATGGATTCTTCTAAGATTTTTATAGTTTCCCATCATACATTTAAGTCCTTTATTCATTTTGAGTTTGTGTATGGTGTAAGCTGGTGGTCTAGTTTCATTATTTTGCATGTATCTGTCCAATTTTCCCAACACCATTTACTGAAAAGGCTATTTGACTCCATTGTATGCTCTTGCCTCTTTTGTCAAATATTAATTGAGCATAATGGCTTGGGTCGATTTCTGGGTTCCCTGTTCTGTCCCATCTGTCTATATGTCTGTTCTTGTGCCAGTACCAGGCAGTTTTGAGAATAGTGGTTTTGTAATATAGTTTGATATCTGGTATTATAATTTCTCCAACTTTGTTCTTCTTTCTCAAGATTGCTGTGGCTATTCGGGGTCCTTTTTTATTCAATACTAGAGGCCCAGTGCATGAAAATTCATGCCCGGCCTGCCCCCTCTCACATTCCAGGAACCCTCAGGGGTGGGAGGTGACCCAGCCATCAGGGGAAGGTGATGCTCCCATCACATCTCTGCTGCTGCCACTGCTGGCAGTGCAAGCCTCATCCAGCCCTGGTTTCCTGAGCCTCGGGCCAGCCTTGGGCAGCTGGGGGGCTTGAAGGGACTGGAGGACTCCGGAGGCAGGTGGGCCCGGCTTTGCCACATGCCTGCCAACACAGCAGGGCTGAGGGGACTGCGCGCTGCCATCTTGTGGCTGTGGGTGCCACCATCTTTGCGACGGTGTGAGGGTCAATTAGCATATTCCCTCTTTATTAGATAGGATGAATTTTTGGAGAGTTTGTCTAAGTCTGTGAAATATGCCATTGGTATCTTAATGGGGGTTGCATTGAATCAATAGATCGCTTTGGATAGTATGGACATTTAATTATGTTGATTCCACCAATCCATGAACACGGTATATTCTTCCATTTGTTTATGTCTTCCTCTATGTCTTTTCTTAATGTCCTGTAGTTTTCCAAGTATAGGTCTTTTAACTCCTTAGTTAAGTATATTCCTAGGTATCTTAATTTTTTTGGTGTAATGGTAAATGGGATTATTTTTGTTTCTCTTCCTGTGAGTTCATTATCTATACTAATAAAAGGGTAATATGCTAATTAGACTTCACCGGAGGTCTCCCTGACGACCTTCCAGACGTCCTTTCTGACAAGGCCTGGCTGGGCAAAGCCGCCTGCAATCCCAGGCACCTGAGGCTGTGGCCGGCTCAGGCGAAGCCGCCTGCAGTTGTTTACCGGTGTACTGTACGTGGGTGTTATTTTTAAAGGGAATGTAGTGCTGGCTGCGCAGAAGCCGCTGCTCTAGCTGAGGGACGCAGCAGGGCCCAAACCACGGCCTCCTGAGGGCGCTGTTTGCTGGCCATCGAGGCTGTCCCCACTGCGGGCTTCTGGCTCAGTCCGAAGCTTGGGCCAGGAAGCTGGATAGTGAGTTTCATGCTCTTTCCAAGCCTTAGCATAGATTACAAGTTCCCGCCAGGGAACATTGTCTTCTCTAAGTTCGGGCTCTGCTCCCTCATTCACATTCCGGGAACAAAGCCACCTGTTTCTCTTCAACCTGGAAGCCATGCCAGGCCCGACTGTGCGGCCACTGGTTCTAAAGCAGATTTCACACGCCCACATACTCACAAGCACACAATGCCCTGGCCGCAGGTGGACTCTCATCACCCTGCATGGTCTGTGTCCTCGCTCTCTTTCTCTGAATGTCCCCAGTACATATGTGCCCATCTGTCTCTTGGGCTTACAGTTCAGTCTTTGTACAAATGCGCTTCTGTTACTTCATGTTATCTTCAGAGGCAAAATGCTGGAAAGGCGGCATCTGACTGCTTTCTGGGGTTGCTCCTCTGCGTGAGGCTCCACTCCTCTCATTGTGGGCCTGTCCACTGAAAAGCCCTGAGTTTGCATTTGGTTTATAGCCTGGTGATGTGGACCCTGATGCAAAACAACTGTCAGCTTCAAGTGCCTATGCGGTGAGCGTGGGCGTCAGGGGAGCTCTATTACCTGGAATCTGTTTTCAGCTTTGAGGATAACCGGGAGTCTTGGGCTTTGCACCATGATACCACATACAATCCAAAGAACTCTCAGTGGCTTCGTTTCCAATACTTTAACACACTGTAAAATAAATCCACTTTTTTTCTTCTCTAAATCTAAACAATCTTCTGTCATTAAAGTGAACACATAGAAAGAATGTGTTGACATTAGATTTTCACTAAAAACATGTTGTGTCCATTTTCAGAATGCATATCCCAAGAGCGTTCCAAAAAAATGAGAGAGTTCAAGGTTCAGTTCAAGGTTGACTCTCCTGGTAAGGAATGGGGGTGAGGGGCATAATACAGGCATTTCTCTCCAAGGGCTTATAGTCTTAGTTGGAGGGAATAAGACATACAGTATTAAAAAGTTCAGTATTCCAAGAGTTAAAAACAGTACAAGAC